TATGAGTCATATTCTATTTTAACATCAAGAATGGTGATCAAGTAAGTCGTTATAAGAGATAAAACACAAATGTTTCCACTTGCAATAACAATATTACGTCACGCAATTAGGTCTATCTTCAGTATTTAATCGATAAATTTGAGTGAAACTAATTACTCGAATTAATATTTAGACGATCATGTTGATAAATACCTTGCAGCTTATCCAAGAAAAGATTTGATATACCACCAAAAAAAGGTTAGAAGCGATGGTTTAGAAATGTTTGAATTTGATTATGTGCAATTATTTTAGCAACAAAGCTTCAATAACCTGATTTACATAGTACTGCATAATTTAGAATATCTTGGAAATTGTTTGATATATACGTAATTAATATCAGCAATTGACGTCATGCAGGATTAAAGTGTTTATTAATTAAGAAATGCCAGCCTTTCTTTAGAGTTTATAAATGCTACTAAACACCGATCATGTTCTAGCAAAGTTGATTAGGAAAAGTGTCATTATTTACTTATGTTACGTATCGTGAGATTCAAAGTCCGTAATAATAGCTAGAAATTATGAAAGATTAATAAAAAATTAAAATTTTTCAATGCTATTAGAAGAAATGGCCCTAGATTATAAAGTAGACAACAGATATAATCTAATCAAATTGATACAAGATTCCATAAAAGAAAAATCATGCATGCTACTATGTGACTAATAGAAGCGGCTAAAAGAATAGATCTTTCAGAATAGCTTATTTAATTAATATATAACATAACAAATGTAATCTAGAGAACAGCAGGAGAGTTATTTATAAAGTGATGGTCTAATCCAAATAGCTTTACTTCTATAATATTTTACTCCGATATTAAAAATATTAACTGCATGGTCTTTTCAGCACGAATTAGCCTCTGAATGTTTCGAAATCCATATTTGAAAAGCGCCACAGACTTACTAACACGTAATGTGTAATGGATTTGAAGTAATAGCAATTTACTGAAGTCTATCTTGGAGTCATTCAGATGATATTTATAGCTGTTGCTTTATTAATATCAAAACGAAATCTTGGCTCATCAAATGGTATCGAAATGTGAAAGAGACTTTATTTGTAATGATGACAGAAATTCATAAAGTAATTTTAAGATCACGAGTCATATATGAAGTTACTTTAAATTGCAGTAGCGGTAGGCTCGTGCTAATAGTAGCCAATAACGTAAACAGAAATTTACCGCATAGTGCACACTTTAGCTCTATTTTTCGCGAATTTACTTTTGTAATCTTAAGCAAATTATTTATAGGCAACTAATAAAATCATATCTATAATGTGGAGTAAACAATGCTACTCTAATTTACTGATCATTATGAATTACTTGCTTAGATTTTAGCCGTAAATTAGTTCAATTTATCGACCGTTACAAATGTCTAAAAAATCGGCATTTAAATATCTAACATTTTGAACAAAATTAAGCATATGGTAACATTTGATGTTTGTATGAAGATAGAAACACTAATATTTATGATATCCCAGGTATTAGTGTGGATGCCAAATTTTTTCTTTCACATATATTTATGGAATAGATTAAAAATAAAGAGATCTGAAGTATAATTCACTCTTTAGATGTATTTGTGCATAAATATATAACAGGATTGAAGATTATCCTTAGGGTTAAAGATCTTAAAACAATATTCAAAGTATCAATTTCACTAACAATAACAGTAGGACTTGGTAATCAAGAAATACTCGAGCAAATAAAAATCTCATACTGTTATTATAAAAAGATAAATCATTAAATCTAGATCGTATACCCGTATTTATAAATTAATCTAAGTGTTACCTTGTCAATAAATATATCAGTAACATACTACGAATACACTATTTATTTATTTTTATGCAGTATAAATGTTTGGCTATTCTATCAACAGTTTCTAAGGAAAGGCCAGAACACATTCCTATAAAATAAGTTAATTTCGGTTTTGAATGTGGTCTAGATTTTATCTCAGTTCAAATAGCGTCGTGATGTCAATAGCTGTGACTAATTAATTCATATATTTTAGCTAGATTTTTAATATTATAAGACTTAGCCGCAGAAATTGCTTTTTATTCAAGTTAGATATATAAGCTAGTGAAAGATGTTAAAATACTTAAGGTTTCCAATCTGGCAAAGTAAATGTAAGATATGAAGGCATTAGCTAGGAAACGAGGACTTAAGTTCTATAATAGACAATGAAACTCTTTGTGATATATATCGATCGCGAAATTCCAAATTTTTAGAAAAACAAGGGCTTTATTGAATCTTATACAAAGATTAACTACACACAGCTCTACTCTAACCTAATACTACTTCTAAAGACTTTTAGAACGAACTAATAGAATAATCTAAAGTTGCATGCTATTATACTTTTCGTAGCATTAACAGCTACAATCCGCATGACAACCTTTTACCTTATATTACACATAGTTAAACTATTCTTAGTAACACTACTCTACTGCGGACCATCATTAATCCGATATGGATACGACTACAATATTTACGTAGACATTATTCATATAAGCCAAAGTATAATGAATTAACCATATCCTAGTATATGATTTACAGTTCAATTTTTACCTATTGCCTTATTAGTAACTCAACACATTACTGTATATAGTGATCTGTACTCTAGCATAGAGTCCATACCACTACAGTCTATAGTTATAGCTACCAAATATCTCTCAGGATAAGTATAGAAGTTACGCTACCGTACATTATACTAAACATAGCTAACAGTCTACAATCACAATACTAAGTTAAATTACACTCTTAAACAATGTTCTGATTTTAATACAATAGAAGCAAGATTTATCATAAACTAAGTAAAATCTGAATATACTACATTACAGACGGTAGCCTATCCTTATTTAGTTAACTTCTAATTTGGATATACTCTGTTTTAATATAGCACTGACTTTTTATGACAGTGATACATATATACATACTGAAATTAATACTTATAATAGGGAATGCAAATCATCGACTTACAGTTCGAATCATTGTGATTATAATTTACTTATGATAGATTGTAAATTATCGTGGAAATGTTCCGTGATAGTATGCAAAATGACCGATTTTGCATACGGTCACGTTCATATAGATGTAGTATGTCGTGTAATAAAGTGGATTCTCAAACTTAGTGTTTAACGTAAAATACGAGGCGTCTAAGTCTTTGTGTAGTCTGCTAGTAGAGCAAAAGTGTTTGTGATAGTGCAGATATCGTTCCTTGATACGTGGTTCAAGGAATTGACTTATTAATCGTCTATTACGTTATCTTGTTGCAAAGCTGTTTTGTGACAGCTCTGCATTTAACTTCGTAAAATTTAAAATAAGCAAAGTTTAAGATTTTCCTTAGTTTCGTACTAGTGGATGAGATGAAGATTTTAATTACTAGTAGTCAAGAGATATATTTCAAATTATCTGGTTTCATAGCTTTTAGATAATTAATTAAAAGGTCAATATCGTAATAATAGCTATTGTATAGCTACTAATTATTCTGGCTAATTTGCATTTCACTATGAAGCTATATGAGAATTTACATGAAATTAAATCATTTAAGAGGATATCAGGTACGTTACATAAAAGGATTATATTCAAATGGGGCATAAAGTTTTATAGAAAATACTTCATTTTAATTCTGTTTTAATGTGAAAATTTTATATAGTAATTTACAATCCTGTATATCTGTGTTCGATGATACTTAGAAATATTTTTTAAATCTTATAAAGAAATCTAATTAAACTTAAAATTTTGCAGACAAATTACTAGGTAATTAAGGAGACAATTATTCTAACGTAAATAGTATAAACTACACGATACTATCAGGGATAATTATTCTGAAATAATAGACTTAAAAAATTTATATATGATATTTTAATGTACACCATAATGGTGGGAGCTAATTTAGGATGTAAGCAAACAGTTTAAAACAAACGTTATACATTTACATATATTAATATTAAAAGTGCCATTAATTCAATTCCAACTTTAATAACAATCCATTGAAAGCAAATGTATAAATATGTTTGAAGCTTGGGATTTTAATCTATATCCTAATCATTTTTGGAAATGATACTATTTTTGAAAGATCGAAGTGTATTAAGGGCATAAAATTGATTTTTCGGTCAAGATATCAAATGTTCTCGTGGTGATTTGCAAATCTAACTATAAACACTATCATTATTTATGATCTTTCGATATGATAGGAACGTAAAAATTTTATTTTCAATACAGGACCTATTCCAGAAATAAGACAGGAGAAACTTTTAGTCTCAGAATGGGCATTTAAGATATGAATGAATGAATGATCGCTTAATCTGTAAGTATAGCTAGTAAATATCAATATATCGGTGAAATGATTGATCATGATAGATAACATGATGATCTTCATTGATTGGTGATCTGGTGATGATCATAATGATATTGATATTCCAAAAGTATTTACTTTAAGTAATTCTTAATCAAATTATCTATGCTGAACTATCTATGAAGAAGAATTCTTGAATGTTTAGAGTTACAACATTGAAGTAATTCATTTCGGAATGGTCTGTTGCATATTAAATAAACGAAGGAATTTTGTATCCACGAAATTTGAGATAACACTAGTGCTATAGCAAAGGCGAAACCAATATTGGGATTAGCATATTGCATGTAGGTAGTTAAAGATATGCCATGCACAGCAGCAATAAATATTAAAGTTACATGAGGTAAAGACGTTATCATATAAGTAACAGTGACAATAATCATCATGTTAATAATTTTAACTATACGCTTTCTAGAATGTTCCAAAGCTTGTCCTTGTATAGTAGTATTAGCAACTGTGGATCGTAAATAAGATATGATCTTAATGTACATGATAGTCATAACGCACAACGGCAGAATATAACTAATTGTATAATATACGAGCAAGTAAATGGCTACATATCTTTGACTATGAGACATAAAGTCACAAACACGATATAAATTATTATGCATTGAAGTCAGGAAAAGATTTGGAAGACTGGAGACTAAAGCATAACTCCAGGTGACGATAATCGTCAATTTAATTTTACGGTTAGTGTTTAATGCATATTTTCGATTTAAACTAGCATTGCGGCAAATACTAAAATATCGATCAATACTAATGATTGCTAATGAGTGAGTCGAAACGGTAAAACCAACTTGTAGCATGTACCCATAGGCTTTGCAGCCAAATTCTAAGAATGCAGTATATGCTACATTATTTTCTACAATTATCATCGAGATAACATGTAATGCAACAGAAAAAAGAGCAACAACATCAGCTATAGACATGCTACAGAGGAAAATATAAGTTGAAGCCTGAAATTGCTTGCAAGTGATAATGATGTAAGCAACAGCTCCATTGGATATTACTCCTATAATACATATTGATATCGTTAAATAGCCATCCAAAAATATTGTACCCATAAAAGTGTTATTTCGTGATGTCGGTGATGAATGATTTGAGGGATTGAAAGTTGTGTTTTCCATGTCTCAACGTCGTACGCTATTCGATATATCCAAACTTAAATTGATACTTTTACTTGGAGTTAAACATACGTATAAGCTGGAAATTTTACGACTTTGGGATTTAGTGAAAAGGAACAAGTTTGAGTAAAATTTGTTACTAGAAATGACTTAAGCTTGAGATTTGAAATATTGAAAATAAATGCAGTTGATTGTAAGAGGATTCAAATCGATATGAAGCTGAAATGAAGTTTCTTTTCCTCTTAATAATTCTTCAAGTACAAATTTGATACTGTATATGGTATAAAAAGGAATACAGTTAAAAAACGGGAATTGCTAAAATATTTTGATATTGAAATAAGCTCAACTATATTTTACAGAATCGTTTCGGATATTGGCAATGTCTAGGACTTAACTTTGAATCTGACCGATAAAGTAACTGAAAAATCAAGAAAAATCGTTTTGGATTAGTGACTAATAATTAAAATTTAATATGTAATTCCGATCAATGATTCTGCTTAGAAGAATTATCGTAAGATTAGAACATCTGTGTAAACGTATAGAGCAATTTTCAATGGAGGCTTTGTTATATGAATTAAAAGATTAAAGACTGAATCTTTTAGGTGAATAGCAAGTAATTTATAAATTGTCTCAAATACGGTGAAAAGAATGATATGTATTCTGCAAGGGTTTCAAATTCTATTTATGATCTATAATAGCAAGCGGATGAATAATTTATTTTCTTGGCATCTTTTGGAATTATAATTTAGTTGATTAAAAATATTTGCATACTCTTGTTTCATATCGGTATAAAGTTTCAAGGTTTGGTTAATATTGTGTTATAGAAAAATTTGTCAAGATAATCCACTACTGTATATACCTCACTAATGATTAACTAAAAAATTTATATCGTTTACATTTCCTTTCAAAGACTTTCAAGTTGATTAGTATGTATAGGCAGGCATCGTTCTTTGTAATAGTTCATACTGAATTTTGTCAGCAAGGTATGTACTTGTCACAACCCTCTCTTGTGACAAAGGAAACGTTTATTAACAAAGTAAAGAATCTCTAGTATAGCTATAATAACTCGTATTAATTCACCTAGTATCTCCAATTTCTATGTTAGTGATATATAAGAACTCGATTTCTCAACTGAACTCCACACATAATTGAATATATTATATTATTCTTCACTATGCGAGTCTTACACCATTCTTGATCAGCTACTGATTTATTCTACTAACATACGCGCTTAAATCGACTTCTACAATGAATTCCAGTGCTAACCAAAGAGAATTAAGTTAGCGTTATCTCTATAATACATTACTGTGATAGTATTATGTACTGTATTGTAGAAATACCTATGTTAGGATAATTCTGTTAGCCTATCCTTATTTAGTTAACTTCAAATTTGGACATACTCTGTTTTAATATAGCACTGACTTTTTATGACAGTGATACTTATAAACATACTGAAATTAATAGTTATAGCAGGGAATGCAAATCATCGACTTACAGTTCGAATCATTGTGATTATAATTTACTTATGGTAGATTGTAAATTATCGTGGAAATGTTCCGTGATAGGACATATCGTAATCTGACTATTCTGTATTAGTCATCACATGTCTATTATCGTAAATACAGTTGTCTGCATTAATGGAGCAGTAGCTACAATTAATATCTAATTCAGTAAATGATTCTAATGTTAATTGTATTAACTATGACTCATGAACTATTGAGGAATAGTATATAAATGCAGTATATCGTGTTATAAAATGGATTCTCAAACTTAGTGTTTAACGTAAAATACCAGGCGTCTAAATCTTTGCGTAGTCTGCTAGTAGAGCAAAAGTGTTTGTGATAGTGCAAATATCGTTCGTTGATACGTGGTTCAAGAAATTAACTTATTGATCGCATATTACGTTATCTTGTTGCAAAGCTGTTTTGTGACAATTACTAAATATGTACACAGATATTCTCATCCTTAGATAGCTACAAGCTATCACACATGACATATAGCCTTATTTAGCTATTCATTAATTAACAGTTACTTATTTGGTAACGGCGCACCGTAACACTCACGCGATATATAGCCTAATTTAAGTATTCATTCATAGTTATTTGATAACGGCGTACCGTGGCAGAACTGAGGTAAAAGAAATCGACTTACATAAATTCTAACACCGATTGCTGTACTGTATGTCAGTAATGATGATATTAATTTCATGACTATGTATTGAATTAAGTTTATATCCAATTCAAACGATTAAGTATATAACTTGATAGTAGGTAAGTCTTTGTATGTCTTTATCTTTTCATTGCATTCTTTCGCTTGAATTGAAATAGGTGACCGGAGTAAGGTAAATGTAAAGGTTTAATACGTCAGTCCCTACACTTGATCCAAGGCTTTTGTTAGATTCAATCGTTTCAAATTCATCTTTAATGTTTTACAATTAATCTAGAAAGCAAATACAAATACTAATTATATAATTAAGACCGGTAAAGCAAGAGTCAAGATACATTTTAGAAATTACGGATCTGTCTGTTATTGCAAACCGAATAAATTAATTAAGGGAATTTTGACCATTAATAACTACTCAAAAATAACTTTTGTCCTGCAAAGAGAAGTGAGAAGTTTTCCTTTTTTTTTTTAGAAAAAGCAAGGTTTTGAGTAATTCTTGTTGTGATTTCTCAACAACTTGAAATTTTGCTCGTATTATAATTTATCGATTTCTAGGAAATTTAAAGGATATTATAGAAGTGATTGAGACATTAAAACTTTAAAATAATCACGCGTAAAGATATTAATAGTCTTTTAATTTTCTTTGATACCTATAATTTAAACTCCTCTCACTTTGTTGTTCACACTGTGCTGATTCTGAAAGTATTAATTATAGTAATAAATCTGAATTTCCTCGTAAGTTGTTGACCACTATTAGCTACAGTATGATACTGCATATTACAGTAACGTAAAATTTTCATCCCGGAAGACAATGTATCTCGTATACCATAATTGTACGAACACGTACAATTAAGAAAAGTTTACTCCGTTATGGAAATTTTTATATCTTGAAATTAATTAGCTAAGCTTAAATTTTGATAGCAGCAATAGGCTACTTAATACATTTCTTGATAAGCTTTGAATTAAATTACTTAATCCATTTATGAAAACTAATGCTAAATAAATTATAAAGTGAACTTCCGCATTGCCTTCTAGCGTATCAATCTTGCTGCTTATTACTATGTGTCGTTATATTCGTTAATAAATTAAGGAATATCTGTATATTTCCATCGAATTATCTCATCTTAGATCAGTAGGCTATGCGTATGAAAGATGAATTTAATACTCTACAATATTTCCATGGTCAATGCAATTCCACTTATGCACTACTATATCTAGACCTTATTCAAGATTTTATTTCTTACGTAATTCTTTTATACTACTAATTTTGCTTATTCAATAGAAGCCATCAATAAGAAATATTATTAAAGTTGTTATCCTTGTATACCCATATATATATGATATGATAGCGTCATATTAATTGCTCTGCTCAAGTTAATTTAGAGAAAAATTTTTGTTGCAATATTTTTTCACTAATTCAGTAAATTAATATAGTCTAATATCTACTCTATTTAGAATGGTTGTGTTACTTTAATTTGCACAATTTTTTTAGTACTCTAATACTAATTATCTTATCTGAATTATCTTATTCAGTTTACTCGTATATGTTTATAAAGTTTTCTTGGCTTATCTATTCCAATAGTAAAGGCTTCGGTCAAAATTTTGAGGTAACGTAGAATTTCAAGATTGTTATGCAACTATAAAAGTACAAGATAGAGTCTTCTAAAGCATAAGAATTTAAGAGATTTCTCTATAAGACTTGGACGAATCTAAATCTCTCCAAAAATTTTGTAACGTTTCAAAAAGTAGAGTTTCAATAAAACTGTTATAGCTTAATTAATAAAATAAATAAATTTTAAAGGTACTACAGATAATAAAATTTCTGATTTAATGCTTTATAAAGTCAAAATAGAAATTTATCTACTCAATTTATGCTGCTGTAGTAAAACTAACTTCATGTCTCATAATTCGACATTATTCTGAGTTTTTCTTTTAGCAAATTACTTAAGCTTTAAGGCACCAACAATATACGTTTTAATCCCGTATCATTATGGCTTATCCTATACGACGTATTACTGATATGTTAGATCCGTTTGTAGTGCAATACAAATATGCTTGTCTAAGTGTTTCTACTCATTAAATCAATTTGAATTCCTTTATCCAATAATACGCACTTAAATTAGTTTAAATGGTAGCGGTATAGCGATGTTTCAGTCAAATACTACTAAGGAACAGCTTTATAATATTTTTGCTTTATATCCTAGCACGTATGAACTGCTTCGAATACACAATATGGAGCCTGCTAGATTAATATTATAATCATCTTGATTTTGAATTTATCTAACACTCAATGATGGTAAAATCTAATTAAGAATAATTAATACGGTGGGAACTTTGAAAACTTTTCATGATCATATTTAATCTACAACGTTGAGAATTTGGATCAACAAGAACTGTTACTGTCACAGATTCAAATTTCGTACACAATTGATTATGAAATAGCTATTCTATCATCGTTCTTATTTCTTTTTGTCTGAAACCTGCTATTGTAAGAAATTTTTCTTATTTGTCAGAGCTTACTGTAATATTATCTAGTATTTGAATCATTTGTGAATCGGTAATAAATGTATTATAAAATTCTTTGTATGCTCTATATGCTAAGTAGAGTTACTAAAGCAAGTTTATTACAGGTAATAAATAGCAAAAACTATTTGAGTAGCTCCTGTTCAATAGTTCTAGAATGTATTTATAATAACTATGTGTAGTAAAGGACTAAAAGTAGAGTCCTTTGTAGCTTTTAGTATGAACCTAGTATTATTTTACTATAGAAAATACCT